GAAGAGGAAAAACTAAAAAAAACCAAAAAATTACATAAATTAATGGATGAACAAAAAGAAGAAATGTTAAATTTTGTGAACCAGAATAAAATTCCACCCGTTATTCAGATTAACGGAACCAAAATCCAAAAAGCGGCTGGAATAGACACTAATTCCTTATCTATTGCGGAAATGATTGTCGAAGTAATTAAGGACCAAAAGCAGATTTATTTTGGTGATGCCTATAGTGCTGAACCTTATATTGTCTTTTTCGAGGAAGCCGACGAAATGGGAGATGTAATTACCAAAAAAGAGGGGAATTACTTAAAGGATATTAAAGATTGATTATCAACCAGCGAAGATGCGGGTGGGCTAGCCACTAACGCCCAAGATCCTAACAGTATTGTTATTGCGGCTACTAATCACTATGATAAATTAGAACCAGGTGCTATTAGAAGGGGACGTTTAGGAAAAGTTCTAAACTTTAACTGAAACCCCCAGTTATTAAAAGAATATGGCGAGCAAGGCGGTCAAAATCGGGACTGACCTAAAATCAACTGACCAAAAAATGAACTGGCTTGAACTTTCGAAGGTAACGCTAACTATCCAGAACTAGCGAAACTTTGCGAAAAAATAGGATATAGTGTTTTTAAAGATAAATTTGCTCCCAAAGCCTTGGAAATTATTGCGGATTATGAGAAATTAAAAAAAAGTAAGCCAAATGAATTAAAAGAAAAAGAGTTAGGGAAGAATATTCCAACTGGTAAAAAGAACCAACTGGGCATAAAAAAGCCGATGGAAGTGATAAAATGAAAGATGTGATGACTTGCAACTGATTATTGCACTTTCTGTATACTTTTCACTATTATAATGATAATCGTTGAAATCATCTTTTCACTAGTGCTTTACAAATGATGAGATACGATTTTGGTAACGAATATTATAAACGGGAGGAAATGCAAAATATTTATCATCAAATTGGGGCAGAAGTTGAACAGGTTGGTTTGGTTTATGATTGTTTGAAAAAAATGCGAGAAGAAGTTGGTAGCATTAAAGATTTTTTAGCCCAAGCTCACAATTTACGGCAAGAAGTTGCTAATTTAAAAGCTGCTGTAGCCGATAACAAAAGATTAGCAAATAAAATTGCTGCTGATGCTGTCGCTAATTTAAAAATATTAGAAAATAGACTGGATAATTTTAAATCTCAAAGCGCTATCGGCAGTGATATTAACAATTTATCTAGCCGAATCAGTAGTTTAGAAAGCAGAGTTAGTAGTTTGGGAAACGGTGGAGGAAGTAGCAACAGTGGAGGAGTTTCAGTGGGTGAATATAA